ACTGTCTTTTGCCTTTTTTTTTTTAATATCCCCAGCACTTAGCATAGTGCCTGGCACATAGTAGGTACTTACTAAATGTTTACTGAATTGAAAATTGTATTTAGTCTATTTATTAGGTGGAGCTGGGTGGTATAGAAGATGGAGCGCTGGGCCTGGAATCAGGAGGACTCCTGGAATCAGGAAGACTCATCAAATCTGGCCTCAGACCCTCGGTGTGTGACCCCCGGCAAGCCACTTAACCTCATTTGCCTCGGTTTCCTTATCTGCAAAATAAACTGGAGAAGGAAATGGCAAATCACACAAGTATCTTTGCCAGGAAAACTCCAAATGAGGTCATGAAGAGTCAGACACAACAGAACAATGACTGAACAACATGTTGTTTCTTCTCAAATAACGTAAGTTTCTTGAGAATATGGATTGTTTCATTTTTTCGCACATATTCCTCAGCACCTGCATAGTGCCTGGCACATTGTAGAAACTTAATAAATGCTTATTGATTGATTATTTATACTACTCATTTGGTATTCAATTAGATACTACCTTACATTCTCAACTACCTTTTTATGATCATAGTACCCTCTTACCTAAGAAGGTACCTAAGAAAGAGTAGAGAAGTGACATGGTCAGTGACTTGGGATGAATGCTTACTGTTTAAGACAGAAATCCTCGTGTGTTCTGATACAATGAGGAGGAGCTGATATCTCTTGTAAGGTAAGAAGTGAGCAAACCACTAAGAAGTTATCAAAGGTCTGGTGAGCATGCTGCTGCAAACACTAAGAAAGACCACAACCAAAATGGCATGAGAAAGCAAGAAGGCCTGCCACTTGTCCTTACTGCCCCCTTTGCACCCAAGCTGCCTCAAAAGGAGTGGGAAGTAAAGGGATTTGAGGGAGGTAATCTGAAACAGGGAAGAGGTTGTCTGAGGCACAAACAAGAGAGGAGGAGAGGAGAATAGAATGGCTACCTCTGCAGCTGAAGCTGCTGCCATGACTGTGAACTTGGAGATAAAAAGGGAAAAGACTATAGCTGAACAATATAGGACTACCCAGAGCCAATGGAGAAAGTTTTCCCTGTTTGCTAAAAATGACAATGATGAAACTCCTACATTCCATTCCTTCTTTCTTTTTTTTTTTTTAGTTTGTTTGCTTTCTATATTGGCCATGTGTTCCCAGAAAGAAACCACTTTTTATATGTATCCCTCAGAGGATTTAAAAAAGCACCAGAGTAGGAGGCTTCAGTCACACTGGGACACAGAGAGGAGGGAGATTCTCTTTCTAGTCCTTGGGATTTCTCATGAGTTGAGGGCTCTAGATGAACCAAAGATATTTTTACTGATACATATTATTATAGTCCCTCAAAGCAGAGAAAAGATTAAATGAATTCAGACCAAATAGAAAACCTTGGCATAATATGACTCAGCTGTGTTCTGGTGGGGAGGAGGCTTAGATAGTAGAAAGCTGTAGTCCTTTCCCTTAAAGATAGTGACTTGGGCAACTCTTCTCATATTCTTTCCTAGACAATTCCAAGAAAGAGTCCCATCCCCCAAAAGGCTGCTTCGGGTTCTTGATTAAGGGAAAGTCCTGCCAACTGGGATGCCCAAAGGGAAGTATTTCAAAAGAGTGGCTCTGCCCATGCTCAGGAGAGGATAAGAATGTGGGAGCAGATAGCTTTTTCTTCTGCCAATTGCCTCCAAACCACCACCACCAATGTCAGATTAAACTCAACAAAGGTTTATTAAGTGATTATCTTTGGGTAAAAACATAGTGCTTGGTTACTGAGGATATGGAGATCAAAAAAAGTGTAGTTCTGACCCTTAATCACTTACTCTTAAAATTACACACATATTTATGTTATAAAATAAAATATAATAGAAGCAAAAGAGAGATCCAGACAAAGTATTCTAGAAAGAGAGAGTACTTTCACTTGAGAAGGAGAGAGGGGATAAGGGAAATCTTCATGGAGGAGGTTGTGTCTAAATTGAACCTTGAAAAAAGAAAAGGATTTCAACAGATGGAGATGAGGAAGGAGTGTATTCTAGTCATAGGGGAAAGACTGAACATTCCATGGAGGTGAAAAAGTAAAGGACAAGTTTAGGTAGTACAATTTGGCTGGCAAGAAGAGTTTATGAAATGGAATAGAGTGAAATAAGGCTATAACTCTAGGTTAGGACAACATTATGGAGGGTTTAGGTGACATTGTTTCCCTAACTTGACTATAAACTGTCTGAGGGCAGGGACTTTGTATTATCCACTGCATTCAGTACAATGCATTCCATATAGTAGGGATTCATAGATCTAGATCAGTTAGAATGGAAAGGAACCTCAGAGGTTATCAGTCTGAACACACACACACACACACACACACACACACACACACACACACACACAAAGCATGAGAGGATCTAGGTTCATATCCTAGCTCTGCTTTTTATGTGACTGAGGACAATTAATTTCCATTCTCTGGGCCTCAGATTCCTCATCTGTTAAATGTACAGTACAAATCTAGTACAACTGTATTGGATGAACTCCAATGTCTCTTCCACCTCTAAGCTTCAGAATCTTATGGTATAAGGTTGTAGCATTTCTCTATCATGAGTTCTCTGGTAAATTCAAATTCCCTTAAAAAGTAACTAGATATTGGGGCAGCTAGGTGGCACAGTGGATAGAGCACTGGCCCTAGTGTCAGGAGGACCTGAGTTCAGATTCAGCCTCAGACACATGCTACTCACTAGCTGTGTGACCCTGGACAAGTCACTTAACCCCAATTGCCTCATAAGAAAAAAAAAGAGTAAAAAGTAACTAGATATGTCCTGTTAGTAAGCTTACGGTTTATCCTTCCAAACTAAGGTCAGCTTTCTCATCATACCACATAAAAAGGACGGTAGGTTGAATATTTAAACATTGTATTAATAAGGACTACCTTATTAAGACCCATTTTGAAATCACATGGTGAAATGAAAGGAACTCTTCAGTTCTTGAAGGCTGAGTCATCAGAGCACACACTCTAGGACATCTTCCTGGTCCATAGCAGATGGTATACCTGTGGTCCAAGGACTAGCCTAGCTTTATGTGGAAGAAAAAGTTCAACACCAGAAGGCTGGATACCAATGCCTATTTGGCAGGGTGAAGGGAGAGACAGCAACTCATAGCATGGAGAGGCCTTGAGTTATCCATACTTATGAAGGAGTGGACAACTAGATATAATATCTATAATATACACTAAGAGCATGGAAATACTGAAGTGAATTAAGGGGTTTCATTCTGAACTCTAGCAACTATGTCATATTTTTCAGTGTATTGTATACTGCTTTTAGAAAACGACTCATACAGAGAGGGGAAATGACTCAGAGATTTTGCAAATGAAAAGAAAAAGAAGTATTTTGTAGGTGAAAGGGCAGGCATCAATTGCTGTAAAGCAAAAAAAGTGTTCAGAATGAGTATAGAAGTAAATAGACTTAATCATTAATAATGTAGCATTCTCAAGCATACTTGTATCCTTTTCCCTGGGATTCTTTCCCTGAACTCAAATTCCTAGCAAGCTCTGTCTCAGTTCTATCTTCCTCTGACAGTTCCTTCTATTTATTCTTAAAAAACAAATGCAAACAAAAATTCTCCATCTCCAATATATTCCTCATACCCTTTTCATCATCTCAGCTCATTAAAACCTGATTTTCTCTTAGAATCAAAAGCTTCCTGGGAGGGTAAGTATTATCAAAAGTGAATAAAAATTTGTATTTTTAAAAGCAATACTCCTATTCAGGCATTTTGTATTCCAGCCAAATTGTTCTCTTTCACACTTCGCATTCTCCTGTCTCTATATTAATAGGCCTTCCACCTCATCTTTGCCTATTGAAATCCTTCTTTTCTTTTAAGGGTCAGTCAGCTTAGGTGACAACTTCTGCCTTTAAAATTAATCCATCTTTGGTTTCCCTCAGCTGAAAGTAATTTTTCCCTTCTCAGATTTTATTGGGGCACTTTGTGTCTCTGCCCTTCATCATCATATTCTGTTATTTCATACTTATTTCTTCTAGTCACATTATCTCTGTTATATCCATTAAGTTTTTTGATGGCAAGAACTTTGTTATTTTTCATCTCCGTATGCCCACAGTATATTGCATTGTCTTGAAGGACTAAGTTTTAAAGCTTTTTTTTTCTCAGATGAAACTTGAATTAAGTTTTGTTAAATTGCTTAAGTATATCTATCATTCTGGGGATAATTTAAGTGTAGATCTTGCCTAATTCAATTTAACAAACATTTACCAGCCAGAGGAAAGGGATAAACCAGATGGCTTTTTACCTCTTGCAAATCTATATATTTTTATTTTAAAAAATAGGTGTTTGGGAGTTGGGGTTCTTTACACACCTACATGCTTAACATTGACCTTTGAAAACTTAAATTTCAGAGTTGCAAAATAAACCTGTCCTCTATCAACAAGGAAAAGGGAGAGTCTTTGTTTTCATTTCTAAAAATTCCTCTCAGTCTGATCTAATTAATGTGCTCTCTATCTTTACCAACATACTAATGCTAATTTTCCTAAACACTCATCTGCCTTTTGAAAAATAATGGGAATAACATCATTTGAATCACTGGTTTAAATACGGTCACTGGTCTCCAGCAGAATGACCTTTGAGGCCATCTAGTACAACCCTCTTATTTTACAGATGAGAAAACTGAGACCGGGAGAGGTTTGGTGTGATTGTGTAACACATGCTTCATTCATTGATTTCCGCCTCACGCATCACACGTCGCTTCTTTCACTGCCTTAGTATTAAGGGCTGCTATAGCTGTAAGAACTAATAAGACAAGGACCTCCCCTGCTGGACTACAGTTACCCACTCAAACTGGGGCATAGAAAGGAATAACGAAGACGGGGGAGGGGTGTCCGGGACTTTGTCCAATTACGCAATCGTCCAGCCTTGGGCATCACGTGCTGGGGAGGAGGCCCAGGGGAAGTCTCGCGAATGCAGCGGGGGAGGGGCGTGGGAGACGCCCGCGTGGGTGGGATTTCTGTACTTATACTTAGCTGGGCCGACGGTCTCTTAGTCTACGTTTAGGAGCGCGTCATCCTGTTAGTCGTCTGTGACACTCCGCTGCCCGGTGACTCTCGCTTTCCCGGGTGCAGCTAGCCAGACACCGCTTTCTAACTGTAGGTGAGTGCTGGGGAGATCGTCCTGGTCTGGTGGCGAGCATCAGATCCAAGGACAGTTAGCCTGGCCGTCTCCGTGGCGCCTTTGGGAGCTGTGTCCGGAGTCACGCGGGGCTGCCCAGAAACAGATCGTGGCAGCGGCGGATTTGGGAGCAGGGGCGGGGGGAGGATTTCACGGAAACAGTAGTAGGTTAAGTTCTGGGCACTTCGGAAAGGCTGCTGTGTGTCTCCTTTCCGTGGAGGTTGGGCTGGCCTTGTGTGTCTGAGCTTGCGTGATGTTGGAATTTGGAGTGATTGTTTGGATGGGCACTGCCAAGTCTGCAAATGTGGCTTAAGTGGTTATCAATCAACAAGTATTCAGCTCCTACTATGTGCCTGGCGTTGTATTCGATGATGGGAATACAAGTATAAGGAAGGAATCAATCCCTACTGGTTTACATTCTAATGGGGAGAAGGGTATATATTAAATGTGTGTGGTGTGTATGTAATACACACAAAAGGTACCTGCACTGATCTTGTATGTATATGTACACATATGTACACACAGCGGTCCTGTATACACACACACACACATATATATATATATATATACACCTTCTTTTGATCCTGTATGTAGGTATACATGTATACACCTGTATAGTGTGTATATAATATACACAGACACACAGGACTAATATCACAAATACGAATACAAAGTAGCTAGGTACAAGATAGTTTGGGAAGGCACCAACATTCCTGTAATGAAGGAGAAAATGCAAAGTTTAGGAAAGGGAAACCCCTCCCCACCCTCCTAGTCTAGGTCTTTAGGGGGTTGGGGAAGACAATGGCTCACAAACTGGTTTTTCTTCCTCTGGGCTGCCTTAAAAATGGGTTTCAGTGATCATAGTTGGGAAATTAGGGTTGCTCTAGGCTGTCCTTGAAACCAGAATGTCTGCTTTTTGTCTTAAGGCTTTTGGTTTTGCAAACTGCTTTAGTAAAATTAGTCATCACCTATCTTTTTCATTCTTGCCTGAGGGTTAGGGAGCTCCCATGCCTTGCAGCTGAGACTCCATCTTCTAAGAGAATGTTGGAACAAAAGCTTTACCATTTTCTCCCACAGATATAACTCAAATTGTATAAGGCAGGTGAAATTTGGACACCACCTCATTTGTCATACACACACACACACACACACACACACACACACACACAGGCCTCTTACTAGAAAGTGAGATTAGCTAAATCTTAAAAAGGGTCTTGTATTCTATAAATTGAACCCATCATTAAACTCAAGGGAGAGAGGCAGAGTTGCTCTGGTGCCTGGGACATATAACAAGCCATTATGGGCATCTATCCTTTCCAGGAAGAATGCATGCTTAGTTCAGTTTCTGAATATTATAAATAACTTCTGTGCCTAGATATTGGGGAAGAGCAGGATAAACTGTTAGGCCAATGAAACAGAATATTTTGTTATCAATTCCTAACTAATGTGAGTAACCGTGGGAAAAATAATATAAATTGAAGATAGTAAATAGAGTAAAATTCAACTAGTGTTTAAAAAAAAAATTAAAAAATCCTTAAGTATACCCAGAAAAGAGTTCATTAGGGGGAAACAGAACAAATTCTTCATCTGTTCATTGTTTTTTAAAAGAAGTGTAATTTTATGGCTTTATTTGGGGATTCAGTTCCATATGTTTAAATACTGTCTACTGAAAGTTTCAACTTGATGAAGACAGGACTCTTAAGATATAACTAATTTGACTTTTTAGTAAGTAGCAAGAGTATCTTAACAACTAAGGTGGTGTCCGGAGCTTTCTAGTGAACACAATCAAGAGTCTTCAAAAACTTAAGGATATTAAAAAAAATTTCTTATTTCATATATTCCTTCATTTCCGTTTTTTTTTGAACGTGATAATCCAGTGTACTTCATCCCATTTAAGTTTTTTTCTCCATTGCTGTCAACATGTCAGATCAGTGACCTCTGGAATTATCCTGAAAAATAAAACAATTTTTGACAAACCTTATCTTAATATAGGGAAACAGATATGTTCTAAACCTGTTAAAATATTCCAAGGATCTGATATACATCTGTCATCTCTCATTAGCACTATGAGAATGAGTCCCTCTCTCTTTCTGTATTAACACCCCTTCCTACCAAGACTGCACGTTGTATTGGCAAGATTGAATTTTAAGTTTAGATGGATAGAAAGATTGATAAATGGAAAGAAAGAAAATTTCCTTATATTGAGGGAGAGCTTTATTGTGGATTTTACAGTTGGATGAAACTTTGATCTTACCCTATATTCAATCAGTTGCCAAATCTTGTTGATTTCTAAATCTCCACCATCCCTGGCTCAACTCACATAGGCCCCTACACTAATTTGTGCCTTTAACACTACTTGGATGGACTATTGTAATCACCTTCTCTTTGATCAGAATTTCTGCCTAAATCTTCTCCCCACTCCAACCCACTCCTTCAAATAGCTGCCGAAGTGCTTTTTCTGAAACGTAGGACTGACTGTGACACTTGTCCTACTCAGACTTCATTGACTCTGTGCTTTCAGGATCAAGTATGTTGGCCCCTTCCAGTTATCTTGCTCCCCGCCTTTCACTTTACAATGGCAATCCAGTCCTACTTGGGACTGTTGAGAAAACTGGGTTAAACCAAGCTATATGTGTAAAATGTTTTAAGTATTGAAGGTTGCCTCAGAGACCTGGTGTTTTAAAACGAATGCTTCTTGTTTGCAGGTTCTGGAGATAAGACACTAAAATGGCTTCTGTTGCAGTTGATCAACAACAGGTATTTCTAAAAAATTCCATTCTCTTCTCAGATTTGCATTCTTTTCCATTTCTCTTCCTTCCACCTCCAAATAGAGAAAGCAAGAAAAACAAAATACTTGTTACACATATGTATAGTCAAGCAAAACAAATTCTCAGATTGGCCATGCCTCAAAAAAACGATCTCATTCTGCACTCTGAGTTCACCAGCTGTCTGAAGAGGTGAACGGCATCTTTCGTCATAAATCCTCTAGAATTGTGATTGGTCATTGTGGTGATCAGAGTTCCTAAAGTCTTTCAAAGTTATTTGTCCTTATGACATTGGACAACAGGTATGTTTTTGACTAGGGTTTCTACCACCTTCTTCTTTTCCCCTCTCAACATTTTTTCCCCTTCTGGGAAGACTTAACCATTTTTTTATCCTCCATTTTGGTTGCACAGAATGTGGTAACTAGAGTGGCCAACCTTCCCTTGGTGAGTTCAACTTATGACTTGGTGTCATCTGCTTACATCAGCACAAAAGATCACTATCCTTACCTCAAATCAGTGTGTGAGATAGCAGAGAAAGGAATGAAGACCATCACTGCAGTGGCAGTGACCAGTGCTTTGCCCATCATCCAGAAATTGGAACCTCAAAGTAAGTCCTTGTGTGCTTAAGACTGTATTGGTTCCAGTGATCTAAGGAGGGAAGCGGGCAAGAATTGTGTTAAACAAGTCAACTTGGGCAATAAAGGTCCTGAATATAATGGAGATGACCATTGTTCCTTTTGTGTTCATGAGTTAGATGATTCTTATTATTCTCAGCCCTCACATAAAATTCTACATTGAGTAGAAGCAGTGTGTTCTACTGGAAAGAGCTTTGCACTTAAGCAGGAACTTAGATTCAGACTTGACTGACATATACTAGCTGGATGATGCCTCAGATGTTTTACCTATATTTCAGGATTAATATCTATAAGACCTCTCTCCATTGGGTGGTTGGGAAGAAAGTGCTTTGAAAACTTTTGAAATGTGAGGTGCTTGGGCAGGAGAGAGGGTGAAGATGTAGGTACATGCACACATGAAGGTTTTGTTTGCTTTTTTTTTTTTTAACTAATTTTCTTCTTCCTGGCTATTTCCTATCATTTTAAAGCTTCCTTATTATGCTCCCTACCATGAACTCCCAATTTACTCATACTGACCTGTATGCTGCTCCTCATACACCATACTCCCATCTCCTGTTCACCATGATGCCTTGGCACTGGTTGTCCCCCATGCTTGGAGTGTTCTCCCTTCCAACCTCATGACTTTTAGAGTCCCTTGGCTTCCTTTGAGATTCAGCCCAACACCACCTGTTCCTCAAAGCCTCTCTTGTTCTATGCTCCCCACACCCCAGGCTGCTAAAGTCTTTCCTTCTAAGGTACCTTCTATCTACTCTGTATTTTCTGTATTATATGTTTTATAATACACACATTCATGTACCCATACATATATGTGCTTGTATGTGTATATATATGTGTGCACACGCATAATTTCTTATAGTATTGTGTACACATTTGTACTATGTGATGTGTGCATACACATGTGTGTTTATCACATTTTCTCCATTAGAATAGAAGCTTTTTGAGGACAGGGGACCTAGCTTTTTCGTTTCTTTATTTTGTTTTGGTTTCTGGATTTTTTTTTTTTTTTTTGATATCTCAGGAACTTAAAAAGTGCCTGGTACATAGCACTTAAGAAATGCTTGGGGCTTTTTTAATTTTATTTTTAAACTAATTATTGGTGTTGGTCAGACTTAGGAAAACTGGATTTTGAAACTGCCTGAGTATTCCTTGATTCCTAAGATTCCTTGAACAAGATACTTCAGTTGAACCCTGGTTTAACTTTAGGACAAAAACTTGCAATATTGTTGATCTGTGTAATGCAGGATACTTAATGAAGCCTAATATTAAACTTTAGCATAGTCTACCTATTTACTTTTTCCCTTTTTCTTGGTAACTAAGCTATCATTATTTCCTGTCTCATAGATAGAACCCTGTTGTAAATTTGGGTGTTTTGTGGTGGGTTGGAATGGTCAGGGGGAACAAAGGTTATAAAAACTTAAATCTAGCAAGCTGTTGGATGAAAGTTCAAAGATCACTTAATTGGTTTCCCCTTTGCATTAAAGCTTGCATCTCAACACTGTCTCTTTACTAACTCTTCCTTCTAGTTGCAGTTGCCAACAACTATGCTTGTCTAGGATTGGATAGGATTGAAGAAAGACTGCCTATTCTGAATCAGCCAACAGATAAGGTAAGCTCCTCTAGGATAGATGAATGAGCTTTCCATATCCTATTGGTCAAGTCCTCATAGGGTGACTGAGGTGGAGAAAGGCAGAGGTTAGTCCTTCATCAGGCAGCTGGGACAGTGCTTAGCTCCTTTTTCTTCCTCTTCACATGGACATTGAGTTCCCACTCTCGGGGATAAATTTTAGAATCTTTATATCGTATAGAGACCTCTAACAGTTCCATGACCTCCTCTCATAGCGGGGCAATCCCCACATACCACCACCTCCTAATTCCTATCTCTAACAAAATCGGTATAGTGTTGGTCAAGCACTGTAGTGGCAGTAGTGGTGTTGTTTCAGGATCGTAGTTACTTTGTGGTCCTTATAGAGGCCCAGCATAACAAGACAGTGGATGAATGGTTGGCAACAGCAGAAGGAATGAGGGAGCATTAAACTCTGGATGAAAGGTTATCTTAAGAAAAAAATCTGATAGTCAACTGCTTATGTAACTTTAGATATGTCAGTTACAATTAATTTGGTGACTATTTTAAACTTTACTTTTTGTTCAACAGTATAGAACATATTTTTAGAAAATGTTAGTAGATTTAAAGGAAAAGTATCAAATATTCATAATCTCTGTCAAAAGTAGAACTAAACAACTTTGCTATCAAGAGAAGAAGATAGTCATTCCCTTGTTTAAAAAAACATGATACCAACATGTGAAACCTAATCTCCAAGAAATTTTATCTGGAAGAGTGACAAACTTGCTTTAAATATATTTATTCCATTTGTCCCAAAAGAACAATAAATAGTAAGTGGTAAATACAATGCCTTAAATAGGAATGTCACATCCATTGTGACTAAGACTATTCCCTGAAGAAAGTATGGCATACTATAGGACTAGTGTTTCTAGGGCCCTGCCACTTTGTTATACAACCCCGAATATTATATGTGTATAATTGCCACGTAGAAGACTTGATGTTTGAGTTAGATTAGAACCTGGGCTGTCCTACTGAATTGCTCAAGATCCTTAGGAAATTTTTTTACTGTCTAGTTCTGTTTCCTCTAAAACAAAAAGGTGGCAGTACAAAAATGAACTCTAAGGTTCCATCCCATTCTTAATTTTATGATCTTTCATATGAGTTTTTTTAACAATCTGTATCTTAATAATTTAAAAATTGTTGTGAATTTTACATATGTTTATATTTCCTTATACAAAGAACAGAAAAGGATTGCATATGATAGCATAAATTAACTTAGGTATTTCCAGTGCTGCTGTTCTTATGAACCTCCTTTTGTATTCTCTTCTCTTTGATATTTATATCCTTATCTTCCCACTCACAAGCCCAAAATAAAAGCTCTCCTTTTATAAGTACACAATTTGACACATTGGCCAAGTCTGAAAGTGTATTGTCCTAATAACTTTGAGCATCAGTTGATCAATATATTTCTAGTGTCTTCTGAAATAGATAAGGTCCTGAGACCTACATGCAATTGCTATTTTTAGACTGTTAATTATCCCTCTGACAATCTTTAGAGTAGTTATGAAAGATCCCCCGTTTAAAGAAATCCTATAACCAGGTGACCTTTCTGTGTGCATCTCTTTGAGATGCTCAAATATACCAAGTACTTCTTAACCAGGTTTTCAGGAATCAAAAAAATAAAGCAAAAGAAAACCCTAAACCTATGGACCCAGGTTATAGCCTGTTTCTCAGAAGTTTCCACAGTATGCTGGAACAGAAGGCTTCCTTTCCTGCCAAATGAAGTACAATATCTTCCTCACATGAAGGTCACTTCCCTGACATTCTCTATAATTTAGAACCTGGAAGTTAGCAGTAAATGAGAAACCTCAGAACAGGCAGAAGAGAGGTCACAAAGTTTGTGCAAGGGACACTTATGCCGTCTATGCACAGATTGCTCAAGTCCTTACTAAAAGCTTATTTATCATTTTGGCTCTACTGGACTTGGCTTTTGGTTTCCTAGCTTACTGTGGTTTAAAGGTGATGGATTAGAAAGGGCCAATACAGGCCTGTGAAAAGAAAACTCACAAGGAAGGCGGACAGAAAGTAGAAAAAGTGCATTTGTAAGGGGCAGCTGACCTGTACTCATTACCTCTGCTTCCTCACTAGCATGCATCCTTTAGCCTCTTGGAATCTAGTTTCTAGAAGCCTACCACTGTATTAATCCAGCTTTTTACAGTCTCTTACTAGCATTAAATCCAATGTTTTTTTTTTTTCCCTTTCATCTTCCTTGACCTTGATGGTAAGACATTTAGGACCAACCTTTCATCCTTTCTCTTCCCATTACATTCTTAAACTCATTCCTTCTATCTGCTTGGCTAGTGTCTCACTTCTAAACCCACACATGTGGGTTTCAAGCTTCTGTCTCTTGACTTTTTCTTCTCTCTGTTATCTCCTTCGATGATCTCATGTGTTCCATAACTGTAGTTGTCACCTCTGCAGATGACTCCGAATTATAGCTATCTAGCCTCAGTTCATTGTTTTGACTACATGCTCAAAAATATATATATCTTGAATTTCCAGGAATGTGTCCAAAATGGGAATGAACTCTTCTCCCCAATTTCTGTTTCTGTTGATGTTAACACCCTTTCCCCATTTGCTCAGATTTATAATCTTAGGTTAACATCTCTGTATGAAATATATTGTCTCAGTTCTTCTCCTTCATTTTGTACATTAGTTGCTGAATCTTATCAGTTCTATCTCTGCAGTATTTTTGATATCCATTCTCAAAATGGTCACCTTACTCAGGCCTTCATCTCTAGTCCTCTGTATGGCCTTTTAACCAAATCTTCTTGCCTATGGCCTATTCCCCTTTTGAATTCCTCCTCAACATTGTTGTTTCCAAGTGTTTTTTTTTTCTAATTTATCATCATAATCATATTCTTTATCTGATCAACTTCTATTCAAAATAGACTCTTGATTTTGGCATTCTGGAGTCCCTGAAATATGGCTCCAAGTAAGAACTATCCAGCATACTCACTACTGTCATTAATTCTAGCTAAATGGAACTTCCTCGCTCCTTTTTCATTCTGCCTTTCATGCCTTTCCCCTCCAGCTTGTTTTTAGGTTAGTCTTGACTTTTTTTCCTCTTATTTCAAGGCCCAACTTTGCTACTACTTTCCATGAATCCTTCCTTTGCATTCTCTCTGCTGTAACTCAACTAACACCCACGACTGAAAATAACCCTTCATCTTCAAACTCAGTTCTGCCTTGTCTACTCCTCTTTATTTACCTAGGTATAAGGGAGGAGGTATTCATATACATACATGTCTCTTCCTCCTTCCCTTTCTCCCCCTAATAATCTCCCCTCTCCCAGAAACATAAGTTTCTTAAGAGAACAAGTTATCATCTCTATATTCCTAGCACAAAGTCCAAAGTCTTATTCATAGTTGGTGCTTAATAGGTCTTGGAGTGACCTTTTTCACCACCAGCTCCTAGAATTATTTAAAATTAAAAATATATTATTTGTAGCACTACAGTTGTGAATAAAGCCTTATAGGTTTGATTCAATTTCTAGACCACATTCATTTTTCCCTGTGAATTTGATCTTACACCTTTAATTTTGAAAAATGCAGTGGCAAAAGCTATTAATCATTAATCTAGTTTCTAGGTCCTTGGGTTCAGCCTTTTGACTAAGTCCAAGTTTTACAGAACAAATCCTTTTATTAAGGGGATTTGTTCTGTGAAGTTTGGATTCAGTCAAAGGGCCACACTTGAGGACCTAGAGGACCCCATGTGGCCTTGAGGCAATCTAACTCATTTTCACCTAACATGAATTTGGACTTTTATTTTGAGACTAAGCTGTTGAAAGTCTTACTATTAGATGTTTCCAGATAGTTTCTAATCTGAGAAGGATTTATTTGGAGTTTTTAAATGTTAAGCTCAATCCAACTACTAATAAGTTTGTTTGGAAAAGGGGTCTCTGCTTGGCCCAGCATAGCCAGACTGTTTTTCTCAGCCTAATTATTGTAATTGACCCTGAAGTCAAAGGTATCTAAGCTAGTTAAATTATTCTTCTCCCAGCTGGAAAAATCACCAGCTTTCTTCAATAGCCTTTAAGGTGATTAATGGATTCAAAGGTACCCAAAGTGATTTTTTTTTTTAAAGCTCATCTACTCTTGGTCTTTGAATGACTAAATAAATGTCTTAAACAGAGCAAGGTTCTTTGCTTGAATGTCTCTTTGCTTCTAGTATAAATTCCTTGTGGGGAAAATTAAAAAAAAACTAGCAATAAAAAAAAGTCAATTTTTAAAATGACTATAAGATAATAGGACAAAATACACTTTTTTTATGGCAACATGATGAGTGATTGGACTGAGTCGATGTCCTACATTTTGCATATTTTTGCATCTTGTACAGCCTACTTAAAGTATATTTAAAAAAAAGAAGAGATTATACGTCTCATAGAAATTGATTTATAATGGGTTTTGGCTTCTGTTTATATTTTGTCTCTGACAACTAGCTCAATGGTTACTTGGATTTTTATACCTCAGTTCCTCTGAGTAGAGATACTTTTACCTGATTTGCTGTATAGGAATGTTGTACTATTGACCAAATTGTTTGGCTATGAGCTTTTCAAAAGCCAGAGTCAAACTATTTCAGAGGATGGTGTGTAGGCACTTGGCCTGTGGGATAACTATACATCTTACCTCCCTGGAAGTAGAGAATCAAGAGCTGGGACCTGATCTTCTTAATGGCTTACATAGACAAATTCCCCATTCTACTGTGATATGAAGACATGATATGTAATAGAGCCTTTAAGGTCTCTGGGTCGAAAGACGTGGGTTCAAGTGTGGCTTCTGCAACATGATGGCTCTGTGACCCCAAACAATTCACTTGGTCTTAGCAAGTTGCTGGAGACTGAAAGTTTAAGCTTCGGAATGCTTCCTGGTAGAAAGGGTTCCTTACAGGGAGTTCCCTATGTCAATAGAACTGCAGGTCTCAACTAGAAAATAATTCATAAACCTTAAAAGTATCATAGAAATGTTTGACAGTGGTTTCTTTGGTTAGTTTTGTTTTCTAACCTAACCTGGCTGAGGAGTCCTCATAGCCTGCATTATGAGAATACTTTCACCAGTGAAGAACACAGTTCCTCTATACTTTAAATGGATTGGAATTTTGGTGGCCAATCTCCTGGGGATGAGCCTTTTAGACTCTCATCAGGGCTGGACTTGAATGAAGCTTGTTGAGCTTTTGTTGTTGAGCTGTTTCAGTCTTGTCTGACTCTTTGTGACCCCATTTAGGGTTTTCTTGGCAAAGATACTGGAGTGGTTTGCCATTTCCTTCTCCAGATCATTTTACAGATGAGGAAACAGGCAAACAGGGTTAAGTGACTTGCCCAAGGACATACAGATAGTATCTGAGGTCAGATTTGAACTCAGGAAGATGAAAGTCTTCTTGACTTCAGGCCCAGCACCCTATCCATTGTGCCACTGATTGAACTTAGGAAATAGTGTCAACTCCATGCCGATGAAGCATCCAACACTTGATTTTCTAAATAACAGAGGCTGTTAAACATTTCTTCTCTTAATCTCAAAAAAAAATACTTCCTTTGCAATGTAATACCTGTTTTTAGTATGTTGTCAGGTCAGTACTCTTTTTAGCTCTCTTCCCCTTATGTTAAAATTTTTATCTCACTGACATGAAAGGTAGAAGGACCTTCTTAGCTTCCTAACTTGGATTCTTCCTAGACAAGGGAGAATGAGAATCCATCTTCTAGAACTATGGTCTTATATAGAGACTGGTGTATGATCTAGTACATAGGCATAAGGGAAGTAGGAGCATCTTCTAGACTACAGAATGGTGCTTCTTAACCTTGTTTGTGTCATGGGTAAGCAAAGGGGAAAATAATTTATGAAGCACCTGATTTGTTCGAAGCACTGTACAAATATTATCTCATTTATTTCTCAAAATGGCTGGGTTTGGGGGAGGTGCTATTATCCCCATTTTATAGTTGAGGAAACTGAAGCAGACAGTTAAATGACTTACTCAGTGTCATACAGCCAGTAAGTGTCTGAGGCTGGATTTGAACTGGGGTATTCCAGATTTCAGGCCCAGTGCTATCCTTTGTTTCACCTAGCTGCCTCCCTTTAACAGTTTTAAGCTTATAGATACATTCTTTATAGACATTCTCAGAATGTTTTTAGATGCATAAAATACAAAGGGCAATGAAAGAAGCTGATTATATCAAAACATAGTTATCATTTTTATTTACAAATTCTTTCCCTTCTGTCTCTTTCTTACCTGTTGAGGAGGCAAGAAATAGAATACCCATTATACATATGAAGTCATGCAAAACATATCAAAATATATATTTTTAAAAGTTCATGGACCCTAGGTTAAGAATCTTGGCCTAAGAGCTAGTGGATTCTTTTGTAGTCCTGTATGTAGGTCTATCACCCACAGGGAGAGATCTCACTTTGTTATCTTTAAGAATCTAACTCTGAAATTTGTCTGATCAGTCTCCTATCATGTCTCTCCCACCATGACCTCCAGTCTGTCTTTTTCTAGCCTCCCTTCTCATACATGGAGAAGAAGCATCTTTAACTTGAAGTCAAATGACTCTCCTCTTCTTCTAGGTTGTTGCCAATGCCAAAGGTGTGGTATTTGGTGCAAAGGATGCTGTGACAACAACTGTGACCAGTGCCAAGGATTCTGTGACTCACACTATTAATGGAGTTGTGGGCAGAACAAAAGGAGCAGTTAACGACAGTGTGGAAATGACCAAGTCTGTAGTGAATGGAAGTATCAACACTGTTTTGGGAAGTCGCATGGTACAGATGGTGAATAATGGAGTTGAAAATGCACTTAGCAAGTCAGAATTCCTTGTGGATCAGTATCTTCCGCTCACCGAAGAGGAACTAGGTAAGATCAACTCTTATTGGTACCACCTTAGAGAAGCTTCTTTTAAAAGTTTTGGGTGATTTTAAAACTCCAAATTGTACAAATAAATATAGAGTTGAATTTTGGGGGGCGGGGAGTAGTAGGGGTGGAATAGGAGTGGATTATGATTCCTATGAATTACATAGTGGTCTAACTCAACTAATTATTAACATAGTGCTGCAACTAGCCTGGAGTTAGGAAGACTTAACCTGAGTTCACACTTGATCTCAGACACTTTCCAGCTATGTGACCTTGGGCAACTCTCTTAATGTGACTTGGGCACATTGTGTGACCTTGAGCAAGTTACTCTGTTTTGCTTCAGTTACCCCAACTATAAATGAGGATAATAACACCTATCTTGAATGGGTTGTTGTGAGGATCAAATGAAATATTTATAAAAAGCTTAGCACACACAACACACAGTGCCTGGCACGTAGTAGACACTATATAAATGCTAGCTATCATTATTGTTGTTATGGAGTTGGAACACTTGGGTTCAGTTCCTAGGCCTGTGTTTACTGAGTGTGATAGGTCATTTAATTCCTGGACTTTTGTTTTATTTATCCCTAAAATGAGGGCATTCAACTACATTTCAGTCCTGTGATCTTAAATATACACAGTTCCTGCAGACTGACAGTGAAACTAATTTAGACTCTTCTCATCCCTCCCTAATCTCTCATTTCAGAAAAAGAAGCAAAGAAAGTTGAAGGGTTCGATGTGGTTCAGAAACCAAGTTACTATGTTCGTTTGGGATCTTTGTCCACCAAACTCCGCTCACGTGCCTACCAGCAGGCCTTAAGCAGGGTTAATGAAGCCAAACACAAAGGCCAAGAGACCATTTCTCAGCTGCATAACACTATGAATCTGGTAAAAGCTTCTTTTAATAAGTTCTGTAGGGGGCAGCTAAGTGGCACAGTTGACAGAGTACTGGCCCTGGATTCAGGAAGACCTGAGTTCAAATCCAGCCTCAGACACATAACGCTTTACCAGCTGTGTGACCCTGGGCAAGTCACCCCCATTGCCTAGCCAAAAACAAAACAAAACAAAAATAAGTTCTCTAGCTATAATTAATAAACTAGTTGGGAGGGTGGGTAGGGGTAGGGTGGAATTACTTCCATGGGTAACTCCATTTTCAGTCCTGTTGCCTCTAGGATCAAATACAAAATTTCTCTTATATTTAAAGCACTTGACAATCTGCCTCCAAACTAGCACTGCCAGTTCACTCTGTGCTGCAGTCCAACCAAGCTTAGCCAGTTTGTTGCTCTTCATTCATCATGGTGCATCTTCGTGCCTCTGCATAGGCAGTCTACCTTCCCCAACCCATCTATCCATTGTATATCCATGGGTCTCTCCATTATCTCACCCGGCTCCCATTTTCTTTATTCCTCTTAAAATTTTCACCTCTTGCAAAACTCAGGTCAAATGCTACTACCTATGCTTCTCCTACCCCCATCCCCATATTATTTTTATTAAAATATAAGCTTCTTAAAGACAGGAATTATGGATTTTTGTGTTTTGTCTTGGTATTCTGAAAGGCTAGCACACCATAGGTACTACTTAAATACTTGTTGCTTATTGGAAAAACTTGATTGCAGTCTGATTGCATCAGACTGTTGGGAAGAATTTAGGGATAGATGTATACCTGTACTTAGCTACTTTATTTTCTGTTAGACAAACCCCAGTTTACAAACAGATTAGAGGCACCTAGGTGTCGCAGTGGATGGAGCTCTGGCTTTGGAGTCAGGAGGACCTGAGTTCAAATCTGCCCTCAGACACTTACTAGCTTTGTGACCCTGGGCAAATCACTTAACCCCAATTGCCTCACTGAAAAAAAAAAACCAGATTAAATTTCAAAATTAATGTGAGTTTTTGGAATTTGCTTCAATTCTTAGCAGACTATAAACGCTGCTTGTATGCTCAGGACAGGTCACAGGAACCTGTTATTTAACCCATAATTCAGCTGAACCATTAACAGGCCTCGATTTACCTGGATCTCTGGCAACTAGAGGCCATGTAGTCTGGGAGGCACAAAAGGCTTCTCCTCCCAAAGCCCCCAGGTTATTTGCTTTTTAAAAAAATGTTAATCAAAAAGAAAAATATGGTATGGAGAAAAAGTGCTTGGGCAGGATACTCTAGTAGGTAGGCTAACCCATGAAGGGTAACAGACTTCCAAAATTGCTCAAAACTGTATCTATACCTTTTGCTACCTTACCTCTGTCCCTCCTCAATTCCAGATTGAATCATTTTTATAAAGCAAAGTTCTTTAGCAACAACATTCACTATAGTGACCACATCTGATGATGATACAGATATTTTTTTCCTTTGAACACCCTACTTCTCTTCTGGGAGTGGGAAAGTATTTACGTTTCATTATCTCTTCTCTGGGGCCTTATTTTTTTTTTCCTAAGTTAGTCAAGAGTTTAACTTAATTCTAGTGATCATTTAATTTGCATTGTTACAGGGCATTGCATATGTATTCCTGGTTCTGCTTGTTTTACTCTTTATCAGTTTATACAAGCCTACTCACATTTCTCTGAATTGCTCATTAGTAATATCTTATTACACAATAATATTTCATTACATTGAGCAATTCCCCAGGCAGTGAACATGCACTTTGTTTCTTATTCATTGCTACCATTGAGTGATCTAGGCATTTTGGTATGTATTGGACCTTTATTTTGGCTTTTGGTTTCTTTGGGCTATACCCAGTAGCAGGCTTGCTGAATCAAAAGGTACAGGAATAAGCCACTTTCCTATATAATTAATTCCAGAATGGTTGGGCCTTTCATAGATCTACTCACAGCACATCAGTGTTTGTCTTCCCACAGACAGTCCAGTATTAGTATTTTGCCATTTTTATCTTTGTGAATTTCTGTGGTTTATAGCAAAACTACAGTCATCTTAATTTGCCTTTTATTTTTGTTATTTTTAGCATGTCTGTAAATGGTCGTTTATCATTTAACTCATCTTTTAAAAACTTTTCATATCTTTTGACCACTTTAACTATTGGAGACTGCTTCATGGTATTATATACTTCAGCTAATCAGATTTTTTTTTTTGGTATAATTGGTACTTACGCCACTTAAAGTGACCACTTGCCCTTATTCTATGTCAATTGGAACAAATACCTATGGACTGGATTGGAATACATTCTTTTTTTTTTTACCTGAGTTAATGTTAAATAAATATATTGTTAATGAATGACTTAGGTAGTATTCTTAAAACATATATACGGGGCAGCTAGGTGGTGCAGTGGATAGAGCACTGGCCCTGGAGTCAGGAGGACCTGAGTTCAAATCCAGCCTCAGACACATAACACTAGCTGTGTGACTCAGGTCAAGTCACTTAACCCCAATTGCCTTACCAAAAAAAACCCAAAAACATATATACCAAATTGTTGCCACTCTACCACGTTTAAATTTAAACTGTGGAACAGGCAGCATTATGAATTCTGATGAATCCTAATCATAATTCATATGAAAACTATTCTAGATACCCTTGTAACCCTTTAAAAAGCTTACTTCAGTGTCTGTCTTGTTGTTTTGTATGCTAATATCTTTTATGTCTGTCCTTAATTTATGTAAACAGTGGTGGTGAATTTTATGGATTATTATATCACCAATAAACTATTTTAGTGAAATACTTTTGAGTGCCTCAAAAGATACAGGTAGGAGGAAGCATAGTTTAGCAGAAAGAAAACTGGACTGGACATCAATCTTGCCTGTCTATAAAATTTTTCTATTCTCTGGTCTTCAACTGCATCACTAGACTTCTAAGGCTTCTTGTAACCCAAAATCGCTTAATTAGAAAATCACTCTATTTCTTCCTAGATTACATGAAATTTCTTCCTTCTCCCCCACCACCACAGGGCGCCACTCCCCCCCAAAAAATTGAAAAGGACTGGATTAGCTAACCTTTTATATAAGGCCCCCAAATTTATTGAACTTCTAACATTTCTTCAGGGCCTCCCTTCACCTCCACCCCCTGTGTATCTAAATCTTTGGTATAAACTTTCATTTTTAAGGTTCATAAACATTAATGCCTGACCTCTTAGTGGATTCCTGAGTTCATGATAATCCTGTTTCTACTCTAAAATGTCTGTTTCCATTCCTGTGCAATACAGATAGAGTTTGCCAGGAAGAATGTTAATAGTGCCAACCAAAAACTACAGGATGCCCAGGATAAGCTGTATCTCTCATGGCTGGAATGGAAGAGGAGTATAGGCCATGATGACAGTGATGAATCCCACTGTGCTGAGGTAAATGACAACTCGGAGTAAAACAAAGATGTTTTATTAGAAAATTCCCTAGTAAATAATGTAATTCATATAATCTAATTTCTCTATAGCTTTTTCTGGAGGGTTGTGTACTCTAATACTAAAGTTTCATACACTTTTGTTGACACTGCCACTTTGGAGTTTCTCCCTTAGTTTTGGTCTTCTGTACATATAAGATAATGGTTCTATGGGTCCAACAGCTTACTTTCTGCTTATTTATGTTCCTCCATGGATTATTGCTTCCCATTGTTAAGGAGGAACTCCAGGTTTTCTTTATAATATGTATTCAAATGTATTTCTTTTAATATGTGTTATGTCATTCTCTTATGTTTCCAAAGAACAAAGTGATCCATAGCAGATTAATTTGAGTTGTTTCTTTTTTCTTTCTTCCTTCCCCCTTCCCCTTCCCTAGCATATTGAATCCCAGACTCTGGCTATAGCTCGGAACCTGACACAGCAGCTCCAGACCACCTGCCTTACTCTTATGTCCAATATCCAGGGGCTACCCCAGAATATTCAAGACCAAGCCCACCATGTTGGGTCAATGGCTGGTGAAGTCTACTCAGTATTTCGAAATGCCACTTCCTTTAAGGAAGTATCGGATGGTCTCCTCAGTTCCAGCAAAGGGCAGCTGCAGAAAATGAAGGAGTCTTTAGATGACATGATGGATTATCTTGTTAACAACACTCCTCTCAACTGGCTGGTAGGTCCCTTTTATCCTCAGCTGTCTGAATCTCGGATTGCTGACCACCAAAGTGAAAGTCGAGAAACATCCAGCCACGAGGACAAACAGCATGAACGCAGCACAGCTTAACCTTTTACATGACATTATATTCTTCTGCCAGCTAGACACCGTGACTCTTCTAAGTTAAAAGTATCATGCTGCAAATCATGCAAAATTGGGGAGGGGTAGAGCTAATGAACGCCATACTTTCCCAGTTTTAGAGAAATCTCAGCCTTAAACTTGCTAAAGAATGGGAGAATGGAGTTTAAATTTTAAATGGTTTTGGCAGCTCACAGTAGAGAATTTCCAGTGCTCATCTGGCTGGCTGTCAAGTTCTTCTTTGATATGCAAAAATGGGAGAATTGGGTGTCAGAGCCTGACTAGAACTTGCTAAACAATACAACTACTTAAGGATTTGCTGGAGCTAGAAGTAGCCCTACAGTCTATTCTGGCTAAGCAACTGTATTAAATAAATAAACCATCATAAAAAAACTATTGCCATAACTAGTATACTTGTTGGGGCCCTTTTTAGATTGGGGTTTCTTACTATTTCTCGCCTTTCCCTCTTCCAGTTATGTGAGTGCTTTGGCAATTTTATTTTGACCTTAAAACATTTTTTTTGTTCTAAATAATATTGAAAAGTAATAAAAAGTTTCTTACTAATATATATCCTCAGATTCATGCTGTTTGTTGTACGTGCTTTGTGTCTGGCCTTCTATAAAGCTTATCAAATTTGTTCTTGTGCACATACCTGTTAAAGCATGAAGCTGGCTGGTTAAATTATGGGACAGCTGCATATTCAAAAACTACTCAAATGGTTTTTAATAGTGAAAGATTGGAAACATTTCAGATATAGTTATGGCTCAAGATCGCTGTCTCTTTCTTAACTTCTACCTGATGGACTGCCCAGTATGTTTGTTTGTTTTTTTTTCTTTTAATCTATGGAATGGATCTTTGTAATTGATGAGTTATTCTTACTCAGATCTAGGGCAGAAGATGCCAAAGTTGACATCTCATTGGAACTGTGGGGAGTTTGGGTCCTAAATAAGAAGGGGTCTTAATGCTTAGAGGAATTCAGGAAATTAATTAGTACTGTAGTAGGAGTGGTGAGGGGCTTAGTCACTTAACCCTTCTTACCAAAATTAAGGACCCTTTAAGCACTTCTACTTCATTATTTCATTTTCATTTTCAATTTCCTATTCATATTCAACAGTATTCATTGTTACCTATTAATTATCTTTATCTTCACCAGTAGACTGAAACTAACTTAGCATTAATGGTAAGCACTAGAAAAGATTGAATTTTTAGCTTGGAGAACCAAAATGTTGGCCTTTCTAGCTTCCACAGAATATTTTAGAAAATACTTGGCATTTTTTTCTTAGAAAGTGATTAATGAAAACTTTTTAGGTAGAGAAGGCAGCATAGGGGCAGCTACATGGTGTAGTGGATAGAGCTCTGGCCTTGGAGTCAGGAGGGACCTGAGTTCAAATCCAGCCTCAGACACTTGGTACTTAGTAGCTGTGTGACTCTGGGCAAGTCACTTAACCCCGATTGCCTCACCAAAAGAAAAGGGGGGAGGGGGAAAGGCAGCATGGTATAATAGCAAGGAATTCTGGATATGGGATCAGACCTGGGTTCAAATTCTATTCATGAGCCATGTAACTTTGGTTAAATCTCTGCCCCATTTTGCTGACCTAGAGGTACCTTCCTCATTGACTTTTGTTGGAAAGATGAGATGGAAAAGTTGGCTGAGAGCTTTAGGTACACTAGTGCTTATTTAACATTTTTGTAAACAGTAGCAGAGCTGCTACTGTCTCCTGTTCCTTCCCAGTAATCTTCTAAGATTTGTTTTTTCTTGTTTCAGGTGCCTACCTTGTCAAAATTAGGAAATCTTTGATGGTTATTCTATGTGGGTGGACAGCGTGAATGAATGTCAAAGTGTAAATAATAGTACACACACACACACACACACACACACACACCCTGCCTTTTCTTAGACATAAAGAGAGATTTCTGAATTGGAGAGTTATATTCTACATGAAACCTAAATTTGCCCCATTAACTCCCCACCTTCATGTGATTTCTTCTGTTGGCCCCTAGGGTGACAGAACTAGAGCAAATCTAATTGTTCGTGTGGCAGCCACCACCATTCTGCTTTAGCAATACTTTTAATAGGAATAGTCTAAGGACATGTTTTGATGTTGACTAGACACTAAATCCAGGCTAGTATAATCTATTTGTTTTATTTTATAAGACTGACAATTTAGTCCACAACTACATATAAGGCAGAGCACTCTAATGTATAATCATGAGATGATAAATGATTGTGGATTTAGAGCTGAAGGGAATGGGAACATCTGAGGTCATCAGTGGGCCCTCCCCTGACCTTTCATTTTCTAGATGAAGAAATTGAGGCTCAAAAGTCAGGTTACTTCCCCAAGGGCCTACATACAGCTGGTAAACGGGAGGTAGGATTTGAACCTAGGTGTTACGGACTCCCAAATCTAATACTGCATCATCAATACCAGATCTTTTGAACATGAAGCCCAGACTGCAGACCAGGATTAAAATGTGATTTGGAAATGTTTAATGAAACAAATACATTTGAACATAGATAATGTTGATATGTGGTTTTCTAAGTGAATGGGTGACTCTCAGGGATCCTTTGTGCACAGCTTACTGGATTTTAGTTTGACACCACAGCACTACCCCATGTTGCCTGTTAGAGTAGTGCTGGATCTAGAGTCAGGGACATCTGGGTGATCCTGGGCGAGTGACTTGTCTGAACTTCTTTGCCCCTATAAGACGGAGCTAATAAGTGCATCCCTCATGGATTTGTTAAGTACAAGCACATTTTAACTAGCGTGAAAAAACAAAATTCCAAGTCAGACTTAAAGGAGCAAGATCGAACATGAATCGATGTGCCACCAACAAGATTGTCTCCTACCCTTAAGCAGCTTACATTCTACAGGGGGATAAATGTAGAGAGCAAAGTAATGTACCATGTAATGTTGATAATGGCACTAACAACTAGTGGACTTGGGAAAGGCCTTTTGTAGGAAGCAGCACTTGAACCAAACCTTGAAAGAGTGTCTTTCCCCTCCCTCACAGTAAAGGTGAAAGAACTCATCGAAGGCTATGGGGGATGACCTCAGGGAAGACATGGAGGCTGGTGGTGGAGCAGACTCTAGTTAATGAAAACAAATGAAGTGGGTATCCCACTCCTGAAGTGGGCAGACTTACTAGATGATCTTTCTGAAACAGGTCATTGTGACTTCTCTAAAGAAAATTGCCTAATAGCACATTACATCTCATTACATATCTCAACTCAGACATTTGCCTACTGTGCATTAAACCTTCATGGTGGTTGTTCATGACTTTGCTGTTCAAATAATTTTAGTTTTTAATTTTTTTCTTGTAACTGCAGAACATGCTTTATATTAACAACAGATTAATCTGGCACTGGACAAGGGAAGAAGGACCTGAGATGAAATTTGACTGTGTACTTGTCACCAAAGTAAATAGTCATTGAGAATCCAGGCTCTTTTGACTACCTGAGATTCTTTTCATAGATCAGTGAAGGCTTTTTTTTTTTTTTTAAAGTTATATCTATCTATCTATACAATTATCTAGATATAGGGGTCAAGAGATAATATAATCTGGGCATTTTCTAATGCTCTAATTTAAAAGAACCTGGAAAATTTAGGTGAATATATGATTAGATTTACTTACTAAGGTCAAGATTACAGTAAATTGATCAAATCCCCCAATAAAGATGAGCACCTATGATTCGAGTAAATACTTCATATTAGTTAAAGTGAATCAAATACTTTAACTACCAGGGGATCAGTGCCATCATTTTTAAATAACAATTGAGAGAGCTGGGTTTTATTTCACAGGTTCTGAAAGCCAACTATTTATTAATGCTTATGGTGAGTGAGAAGAGCTTAAAAGATTGAACTAGTACTTCAACTTAAATGAAAAAAGAAAGTTTTAATCATTTGAAGTATGATTTGTTGTTTATTCATTTCAGTTATATCCAACTCTTCATGACCCCATTTGGGGTTTTCTTGACAAAGATTGGGGTTGTTTGCTGTTTCCTTCTCCATCTAATTTTTACAGATGAGGAACTGAGGCAAACAGAGACTTGCCCCAGGGTCATACAGCTAAGTGTCTGAGCTCAGATTTGATTAGCTCTGGCTAATGAAAGCAGTCTTCCTGACTGTAGATCTGGTGCTCTACCCACTGCACTACGTAGCTGCCCATTTTGGAGTATGTTGGAGATCCCAAAATTCTGTGCCTTAAGATTTCTGCCCCAAAAAATACAGTGTGTCCCAAAAGTCTTAGTGCAGTCTGAAGTTATTAAAACTTTCAAATATCCTGTATTTAGGGCACATGTTACTAGACAAATACTTTATTCAAAAGGGAAACTCAATATAGTAGCTATGGATTTCCTTATCCTAAAAACTGCATCGTTATGGCCTGCCAGAATATTAACTTAAGAATGTACCTCTAAATAGCTGAATGAATGCAACTTTTGGATGGAATTAAAATTGACGTTCTGAAAGAAGTTTGAGCGTCTACCAAATAGTGATTTTGATTGCACTATAATTCATATAAACTACTATTCTCAGCTTTCCCTAGTCTGATAAGGCCGAATCACAGCATAAAGGAAGAGGCCTATCTTTTCCATATCACAGAAATACATCCTCGATAATTGTGCCAAATTATTTGAATAAAGATTAAAAAGGAGAGGGGTTAGGACTGGTGACTGGTGTTCTCATCTTTTAAGTTCTGAGCAAATGACCGGGGTGCATGAACACTAAACATGCAGGTGTAGAAAATCATGATAGCTTTCACAAAACTCACAAAATAGTTGTTATTTAATGGAATATATGTACATCAGTGTGCTATAAGGTAATGAGGCATCAAGGATAATGGTAAATGGTTCACATGAATTGATACTCTTAATCACAGTT